GAACTAGATAGAGGTGACAGTTGTACAACATTGTGAATGTACTTAATGCCACTGAATTGTATACCTTAAAATGGTTTAAATAGTAAATTTTATGTTATGTGTATTTTATCACACACAAAATCAGAGCCAATTTCATGAGGTCAGATGAAATCACACTCCAATCTGAGGTACTTCCAATCCCTCCACACCCTCACTACAAATACAAGGACTGAAAGAATCATTTGCTCCATAAAAAACAAAAAGCACACAACAAAAACAAAATGTTGTTGAAAAAAAATCACAGTTTTGATCAGTATAATCCCTTTAAATGTCCAATCGTAATAAAACTGTATATTTAAATTGTCCATAGAGGGTATTCACTAAATTGATTTAAAATAATTATCTGGTAGGATAACTAAAACAACTTATGATTAGCCTCAAAAAATCCTAAATATATATCTTAAAAGAATTATAATGCTTCTCATTCATCTATGCTATAAACATTACATCTTTAGGAAATATATAACTTAAAGGTATTTTCTCAAAATATATGTCCACACAAGAGACCATGAATGGTTTGGAAAGAATTTGGATAAGTCACATAGTTCCTAGAAACATAATAATGGTAGAAAAGGATTTGTCCAGTGAAGTCAATTAGGAAAGATTTGGAGGGAATCCATTATATCCAATTATAATAAAGAATATTTTCAATTAATCTAGCTAACTGCTATGTATTTGAGATGGTTAGATGGTCTATTTTCCAAGTGTTCACCATTTTCAAGTACATATATAATATAATCAATCACTACCTGCTTCACTAATGGTATCCTCTTCATGCCCTCTTACTCTCCTCATGCTGTTATCTATAAACTCTTCCCTTCACTTCTGAATTCCTCAGTGGCACCTATTTAACAACTTTTTAGGAAACAAGTAAATTGTGATCACTGGAGATACCCAACTAGGTCAAAACAGGAAAAAGCATGTTGTGTCTTGAGACATAGTTGTGTGGGAAGTGGGTGCGTGTGAGTGCTCAGGTGAGACAGGAGGAAAAGAAAAACATGTTTACTTCAAAATCTCAAAAATTAAATCAAAAGCCAGAAATTTTGGAAATGCCAGAGATATTATGGGTAAATGGTATGGGAACAAAATATCTCATCTTCATATCTTAACTTCTAAATAACATTAAGCCTAACATATTTGCACTGTTAACCTATTTTTTCTTCCCTAATTTTAAACAGGATGTAGACGTGCCCTCCCAAATAACCACATTTTATCCATTCTAAGATGTCATCAGTAGTAAGACATACCATTATTTTGCCCACTATTAAGAAAGAAAAAACTTTGCCAATTAAACTATGACATGCCATCAATTTTAAGAAAGATTCTCATTTCAGAAATATTGAAATGTCAAAAACTTACCTCTTGCAATCAATGAAATAACATTAAGTGTCAAAAAGAGGGCTATTTTTGGCTTTATGTAGACAGAAAAGAAAAATTAGCTTTATATTGGAAACCAAAACATATATACTTAAAATTTCAAGTTCCGAATCTACTCTTTAATCATGCTGCTGTTTGTGTAGAATATTAAACAATTTATCTTCAATTTAAATACCAATCTGCTTAAACCTTACTTTGTTTTTTTCAGGAAGCGATGATGTTTGAATAACCAGATGAAGCCCACAGTTCACCTGAAATGTAAAAATTAAAGCATAAAATTTGCTCTTAACTTAAATATACATACACATATTTCTTCCAAAATGGTACAGAAAAAGGTATAACAAAAAATTAGAATAGAACAGAATGCTCGAATTTTGTTTGTTTCTGGTAAATGAACATGTTCTGAGGATTTGCTGAAAACAATAAAATCACATCTAAGAATTAAAAGATTTCACTGATTTAATTTCCAAAATGTCGGCAGCAATTTAACCCTCTAGTACCTCAGGCTTTCGACATTTGCCATTTCAGGTCTAAATAAATATCTTAATGGGACAGGTGAAGGAGGTAGGAGTGTCCAATGATAAATTCTTTTCTCAATTAAAAAAAGAAAAGAAAAAGGAATTGACTGGGTAAAGGAATTTAAATGAACCTGAGCCTTTCACGGCAAACCAGCTCCACCTTCTGGGGAGCCAGATCCTGGCCAAGGCTTTGAATACCCATCATCCAATATTAAATACTCTCCAAGTAGCTTGTTCCAGCCCACGAACCTCAACCCTCGGTCAGACAATAGCTCGAGCAGACCCAGCGGTCCTGATCCCAATAATACAGCCCATCACCCAGGACAAAGGCGCCAGTCAGAAAGGACGATATCAATGGGAAGAAAGAGAAAGTAGGAAGCCCAACCTACGTTGTTCGTAGCCCGGCCAGAAACAGAGCGGTATTTCCCGGGAATCATGGCAGGAGACAGTCCAGGATCTGTTAGATCTGCCTTCGAGGTGACGCTACAGCGAAGATTCAAAGAGACCGAAAGAGGTCATCTCCCAGGCAACCCGCTCAGGGGTTACCATGGAAACTACCATTTCCGGTCTGGTCCTCTCCCAAATCGACAAGACAACACAGTCGTTATAGCCTCTGGTTGTATTTTTGAGAGTCTAGTGCGTCAGCACTTCCTCGTTCTATTTTCCCAGCCTTATAAAAACAGAGCGGGAGTATTGGGTGGAGGATAAGACCGGGAAGAGGCTGGCCACATCGGTGGCTATGATAACCACCACTTCCGGTCCGTTCCTCTTTACGGCCCACTTCCTCGCGGCCCGCGCGAAATTTGTATCCCACTGCCTGTCTCCACCTGCTCTCGGGGTAGCATTGCAGGGAGGACGAAAAGGAGGAAGACATGAAAGAACTCTCTCATTTGGGGCCCCCGTTCGGCACTTCCGGTGACCAGAGGTAGGGAAGGAAACAGGCCCGAACCGGAGTCGACAGGTAGAGAGGACTTGCCTCGCCGAGGCTGCCGTGAGAAGCGTGCATGAGTGCGGAGGGTCCCGGACCCCGGCTCCCCAGCATCGAAGGCAGCCGCCATGCCCGCCCGCTGCGTGGCCGCCCACTGCGGCAACACCACCAAGTCTGGGAAGTCGCTGTTCCGCTTCCCCAAAGATCGGGCCGTGCGGCTGCTGTGGGACCGCTTTGTGCAGGGCTGCCGCGCCGACTGGTACGGGGGCAATGACCGCTCCGTCATCTGTTCTGACCACTTCGCCCCGGCCTGTTTCGACGTCTCTTCGGTTATCCAGAAGAACCTGCGCTTTTCCCAGCGCCTGAGGCTCGTGGCGGGCGCCGTGCCCACCCTGCACCGGGTGCCCGCCCCAACACCTAAGGGAGACCTAGCGGGCGGCCTGGAAAAGGGTGGAAAGCTTCAGGCAGCCAGGCATTCTGAGGCTGCTCAGGGTCCGATCTCCTGTACACGCCTCCGGGCTGGGAAGAGGGCTGCGGTTTCACAGGTAAAGAGAGACCTAAGAGTCCACCGAGGGTCATGGAAGGACCCCTGGGCTGTGGGGAGGCTCCTCCACTTATTGTCACCTTGGGGAAGGCACTTCACCTCTAAGGTTTCTGTTTTCTCACCTGCGAAATTTAGGAGTTTGCTTTAAAGGTGATCTCCAAGGTCCCATTTAGCATTAACACTTTGGAATTAAATGACTCAATTCCATCTGCTCCCCCGCAAAACTCACACAAACACCGAGTCTTGTCCTTAAGAGTATTGAGTTGCCTTCACTTGCTTCTCCAGAGTTTTTAAATAGACAGGGTTTAATTTGAGCAAATCTCAAGAACTGGGGTACTCGAAACTGTGTTTGCAGAGCATTACATAAGCTTAAATTGAAAGTCAATTTAAATGTCAAAAACGACCTGGGGAAGGAAATGCAGAGCTACAGGTAAAGATGGGGCTTGCTAATAAACAATTCCCAACCCTAAGCTTCCTTTTGATACTAGCTGCCTTAAGTTAAATGTTCCTGATGAGCTGAATTTTTCCTTTTTGCCCTCTCTGCCTACTTTTCTAATCCTTATAAACATTGATTATACTTATTTTGCATCTGGTTACTACTACCTTCTTCCCCATTTCCCATTTTAAAGACTTCCAAACCTTCTATGAGGTAATCAAACTTGAGTCCTATCACCATTACATAGATTAAATTATGGCTCATAATTGGATCTAAAAGATGTTTATTTCTATAGGTGGGAAGAGTTCACCAAGTCAAGTGACCTGTAATTGACATTTTGGCTTTGAATATACATACAGAGGTATTCATAGAATTTTAGAGCTGAAGGAAACCTTAGTGCTCATTTAGTCCAAAGCCACAATTTATGCATGAGGAAGATCATCCTGGAGGTTAGTATTAATAATTTGCTCAAGGGCCTGTAATCCTTACTCTAGATCCAATAATGCTAAACTGCTTCCTCCATTGAGGTGAATGCATAAGACCCTTTAATAGCATCTTGCAATTACTAGAATAAAGAAAAATTATTAACACAATTAACATGTCCTTGCATGTCCCTTGAGTGCCACACCAGCCCTATCCAAGGCCACTTGTCCCTGTTTCTCCCTGTGTACCAGTCATGCTGATTTTTTTCAGTTCTTGGACACGCTGTATTCCTAACTACCAACAAGACTTTGCTCAATTGTTCCATGTAATACCTTGGAATTATGCCCGCCCCATTCCACATCATCACCAATTAAGTATTTTTCCTTGAAAAATCGGCTCAAGGCCGGGCGCGGTGGGTCACGCCTGTAATCCTAGCACTCTGGGAGGCTGAGGCAGGTGGATCGCTCAAGGTCAGAAGTTCGAGACCAGCCTGAGCAAGAGCAAG